CACAGTGATCACATGGTACTGACAGTGGCCCGGTACAGTGATCAGTGATCTGCTGTCTCCAGTGGACACAGCCAGTGACAGATCTTGTGACCTGTGGGGTGTGCACAAAGTGTGTTTTTGGCAGGATGTCATATAATGTTCACCTGGAAAGACGAAAGTCCAGCCAGGCTGACATTTTTACAATAGGCTAGGCAGGTAGTGGTTAAAACAGCAAAGGTTGAGGGTAAATATTAAACCACTTACATTACAGGGAACACATACAATTATTTTTAAGTGGCAACCTAGTTGCTTTAAGAGGGCCACAAATGTTCTCTTTACCCATCAGTCAGGGCAAGGGAATTTGCTGGGAAGACCTTAAAGATTTTCAGTGAACACCAGTTAAACCAGACTAGGCTGAAAGATCCCTTCTAATATGAAATCAGCTGTTCTAATCTAAAAAAAAAAACAATCAGGAATAGTTGACTACAGACATACACAATATGGATCCCCTATCTCATACACTGCTTCTAGTAAGATGTTCGGCCTACACTGGTACTTCTCACACACATTTTGTGAAATACAGGCAGCTGCCTCTCCTGAAAAAAAAGATGGAGGCACAAGAAGAGTTAATGTAGAGAGTGACGCCCTTTTTTTCCTGTTTTAAAAATGATTCTTTTTTTTTCTTTTTTTGGCTCAAGGAAACCAGAAATTCCTTAGCCTGTGACGTGGGTATGTGCATGTGTGCGGCCAGAGATTTTTATGTGTGTATGTATTTAGGGAGGCGTGTGTCTGTGTGGATATAGATATATATTTTTTTCTTTTTTATAAATATATACGTGTGTGTGTGTGTATAACTCTCTATCCCATACTAAAACTATATATCACAAGAGATTTTTTGTTTTATAATAAGCAGAGAAATGGGCAAAAAGGCAAATTTTGTTTAGGTTAAATAAAAAAGATTAAACTGCATCAACTTAACAAATGCGTGTGCACAAAAGGAAATAGGCATTCAAACCCATTACAGATAATCAATTCAGAGTTAAACTAAGGCTAGTTTAACAGTAGCTCTGAAACCATCCTCCTGTTTCTGGTATATGCAGGGATATGTAATAGGTATTTATGAAAGATCAAAGATCCGGCGCTCCACTAGAGATGCATTTTCCAACACATTCCCAGCACTGGGTGCTGGCTCACTAAATGGTTAGTTCTCCACCTCAGACTCGGTCATGAAAAGTAGAAAGGCAGCCACACTTCAGGATAAAAGCCTCTGTCAAGGTTTAATGAACCTATATTTACACTTTTTTTTTGTATATTTTACTCTTTATTGTTTTTTTTTTTTTTTTTACGACTATCACAAGAGGCTGATAGTCCTCCTATGTGATGGTAGTGACAGGTACTCTTTGTAGACCCCTGGTTTCTCCCTTGTCATTGGTCCAAGCAGATCAGGGAGAGAGACATCTCAGGATTTTGACAACTCTAAAATCAGAAGTGCTTAGATCAGCCATTCTCAACCTTTATAGCACAGAAAAACCCTTGATAGAACTTTCTGGCATCAGGGAACCCCTGCTAAAAATGACTATATCTACAACTAGTGATACATTAATGTGATGGTCAGTTGAAAGAGTGCTCCTTACACTTGTGGTCATTGTGAGGAATTGCCCCCTTATAGATGGCTAAAAACATGAATGGTGGCAGTGGAAACTTTTTCCAAGAAGTAGAAATTGCTTATTGTCCTAGCAATCTCTGGAGTTCCATGAAACCCTGGCTTAGAATGTTCCCTTATCTCCTCCACCTGCTTTGCCATCCTGTATGCCACCATAGTGCCCCCAGGCTCAAAAAGGAGCCAGATGAGCCCAAGGGCCAGGAAGCACAAGGGGTAAGGAAAAGATGATTAGTAGAATCTATCTGACCCCTACTTCAATACTGTGTTTTGGTATGAATTAAATTTCCCAGATGAAAACCACACACTGGTATAAAATAGAGACGTTTGAGAAAAAAGGTCTATCATGCTCCTTAGGATTTTCTTGTACTACGGTCAAAAACTAACATGGATTTGACCCCACTAATCATTAGAACATCAAACAAAGATAATTCTGTTAGTGTATGGCCAGTTTAAGCTGTATCCGACTCTCTGATGTACAGTTGTGTTCAAAATAATAGCAGTCAGACATCACTAACCTGATCAATCACTGTTTTTGGTAGAAATTATATTTCTACATGGCAAATAATTTACTAGCAGGTGTAGTAGAGTAATAGAAATCCAACAGACCCAACAGTCATGACATGCATGCTGCTGATTCTGTGTAATTGAAGCACTAACTGAAAGGGGCATGTTCAAAATAATAGCAGTGTGGAGTTCTATTAGTGAGGTCATTCATTCTTTAAAAAACAGGTGGCAATTATTGCCCTTATTTAAGGAAGGAAGGCAGCAAATATTGTACATGCTGGTTACAGTGCATTTCTCTCTGAAATTCTGAGGAAAATGGGTCGTTCCAGACATTGTTCAGAAGAACAGCGTACCTTGATTAAAAAGTTGATTGGAGAGGGGAAAACATATAAAGAAGTGCAGAAAATGATAGGCTGCTCAGCTAAAATGATCGCAAATGCTTTAAAATGGCAACCAAAACCTGAAAGACCTGGAAGAAAGCGAAAAACTACCATTCGAATGGATAGAAGTATAGTCAAAATGGCAAGGACTCAGCCAACAATCAGCTCCAGGAAGATCAAAGAACCTCTAAAGTTACCTGTGAGTACTGTTACAATTAGAAGACGCCTATGTGAAGCCAAGCTATCTGCAAGAAGCCCCCGCAAAGTCCCACTGTTGAAAAAAAGACATGTGCTGACGAGGTTACAATTTGCGAAAGAGCACACTGACTGGCCTAAAGAGAAATGGAGCAACATTTTGTGGACTGATGAAAGTAAGATTGTTCTTTTTGAGTCTAGTGGCCAGAGATAGTTTGTCAGACGACCCCCAAACACTGAATTCAAGCCACAGTACACTGTGAAGACAGTGAAGCATGGTTGTGCAAGCATCATGATATGGGGATGTTTCTCATACTACGGTGTTGGGCCTATTTATCGCATACCAGGGATTATGGATCAGTTTGAATACATCAGAATACTTGAAGAGGTCATGCTGCCTTATGCTAAAGAGGAAATGCCCTTGAAATGGGTGTTCCAACAAGACAACGACCCCAAACACACCAGTAAATATGCAACATCTTGGTTCCAGACCAAGATTGACGTTATGGAGTGGCCAGCCCAATCCCCGCATCTTAATCCAATAGAAAACTTGTGGGGTGACATCAAAAAAAATGCGGTTTCTGAGGCAAAACTAAGAAATAGAGAACTGTGGAATGTAGTCCAATCATCCTGGGCTGGAATACCTGTTCACAGGTGCCCGAAGTTGGTTGACTCAGTGCTTATACAGTGCTTATACAACGAAATATTAATTAAGTGATTCAAAGGAAAGCAAAATCTTCAAACATTTTTCAGTTTATATAGTGAATGTTTGAGTTTGTAAAGAAGAATACAAACACTGCTTTTTTTTGAACAGTCTAATAATCACTTTTCTTCTATTTTTTTAGAGGAACAACACAGATTTGATATATTTTTCTTCATGTTTTGATTTGGAATAGAACGTGTAGTGTTCCCAATGCATTTGTGTGTATGGAAATAAAAGCTATTAGAAGGATTTTGAGCTTTATTCACTTTTTTCAACACACTGCTATTATTTTGAACACAACTATATGTGGGCAATGAGGAAAATAAATAATGCAATATTTCTAGCTTGCCAAGTAGCTTTAGAAATCCCAAGTGTATGTGCTAATAACTAGGCAGCTCCCCAACTCTTAGGGCAGTCATCACTAAATGTCCACCAGCCCGTCAGTCCCCAGCACATTTTACTACTCTCTAAGGGTGCACTCAAATGGGGAAACCTGATTTTAGCAGGCACTTTTATGGGAGCACCTGATTTAGAGGGGGCATTGTGATGGGAATACCTGATTTAGCAGGGGGGGGGGGGATTGTGTTGGGGACACCTGATTTTACGGGGTACTCTGCTTGGAAAACCTGTTGTAAGGGGGCACTGTGATGGGAACATCTGATTTTAGGGAGGCATCTGTGATGGAGACACCTAATGTAAGGGGACACTGGTCAGGACACCTGATGTAAGGGGGAACTGTAATGGGAACATTAGATTTAGGGGGCATTGTGATGGGGACCCCGACTGCCTCTCGGGGGATCAGGAAGGAATTTTTTCCCTGCAGGAGCAAATTGGATCATGTTTTGCTGGTATTTTTTTGCCTTCCTCTGGATCAACTGTGGGTATAGGATTATAACTTTTTTTTTTTATTTTTTTATGGTTGAACTGGATGGACTTTTGTCTTTTTTCAGCCAGACTAACTATGTAACTATGTAATGGAGCACTCTGATGGGGACACCTAATATAAGGAGCACTTTCACGGGGACAATGAAGTAAGGGGACACTCTCATGGGGACACTTGATGTAAGGGGGCAATCCCATGGGGACACCTAAGGCACTCCAATGGAGACAACTAATGTAAGGGGGCACTCTTTTGGGGATACTTAATATAAGGAAACACACTGAAAATTGGCAATAACTATTGTTGAAATGCTATCAAAATAATACATTGCTTATTTCTTTTGACAGATTTAAATTACTATATACACTAAGATATGCGTCATAGCATAAACATGAGATTCAGACCTCTGCTGGAAAAAATATTACTGACCAGACCACCTTAAATTTTTAATACCCCTGCCTTGGAGCGTACCAGGCTGCATGTAAAATTTGTATCTGCCCCTGTGTGACCAGCCAGCTAGATTTGGGTGAAGCCTTCCTCTAGTGGTAGCCAGAGATATTGCAGGCTTTACAACTGTATCACATCTGGTATTACCTGCTCTAAAAAAGCTCATCCCTCCTTCTTCCACCAAACAAGATCCTTGGTTAGTCACTGTGGGTGCACATCTTTAAAGTGTTACTAAACCCAGGACCCTGCATTCACTGCATCTTCTCCCCCACACAATACACAGAACATGGAAATGCAATTATTTTAGTAAATATAAACTGCTAAATATCTTTTCTCATCAGCAAAGATATGACTTCTATCAGTGTTCAGCAGAGCACTGGTTAAAGCTTGTAGGAGGAGTTTTAATTCTGCTCTAGGAGGATGCAGGACCCCTGACCTCTGTCTGGACAGTGCTGATTGGCCCTGTGCTGATCACATGCACTCCCCACCCCCCCAAAAAACCCTCTCTAGCAATACACACTAAACTGAGCATGTGCAGAGTGTCTCCACACAATGTCTTATTAGGAGATAAGAGGGGGCACTGGAAGAAGGGGAGGATCAGAGAAGTCAGGATCAAAAAGCATTTTTTACACAATGCAGAGGAGGTTCTACAGTGAGTATAACAAGCATGCTTTACTACATATACAGACTGATTTTATTGTTGTGGGTTTAGTAACACTTTAACATCTGGTTACAGCTATGGGATAATAGAGTGTACATGCTGCTTTACTGACCCCAAGTGTCCATACTGGGGAAGTTGGGGTTCTGATAACAGTCTCAGTGTGCTGGTTGATTTCCTAGGATGTGCAATGGATGGAACTCTCTCTCTCCCTGTACTCCCGTTTGTGACATAAAGGCTTCTGTATGACAGTCTTGCATAACTCCATCTCTGTCCCCTTTTCCCCCCTCAGTTGTCCCTCTTTGTGGTCTGACACTGTAACAAAATGTAATACTTAAGCCCAACTCCAGACAAATACAAAATTATCCATTGCAGTGAAGCTGTTCCCATACTGCATTAGCTTGTCTTTCCTAGCGGAGATGAGTCTGATCCTCCACTCCCCCAGCAGATGGTGCTCCCTCTCAATGCAGTGATGGACTCTCCCTCAGCATCCATTGCAACGCTATGAACCCTGTTCAGATCTTGACCTCAGGACTCCCAGACCCATGGCCGTGGATAAGGGGGTACCACCAGTCCTCCTGTATGGGGCCCAGGCATCTGGTTGAAGGATGTGGGCAGGGAGGGTGATCGGCACAGTGGGAGGCAATTACAGCCAGCTGATAGCTGGCTTCTTCTCCTCTCCTGCTGGCTTACAGCTGCAGTACAGAGAGCCATACAGGGGGTTGATTACACTAATTGCCCAACCTTCACCACCACACCCATCATCCTCCCTGTGCACAATACCTTTCCCTGCTACCTAGGCCCCCCAGCCTTGCAATGCTACTGGCTTCCCTCCTCTCCTCCACACAAGCAGCTGCAAGCACACTGCAAGCTGCAATAGGATCCTTCAGGATGGAGAATGGATGAAGGGTCCAGTTACCAGCCCCCTACTTTCCTGAATGAACACAATGAGTGATCAGCACCCATCACTCACTATGTTCATTCATAACTGAAGCATAGTACCCATCGCTCAATGTGGTGCTTCATAACCGAAGCATAGTAAACAGTGGGGTTTTTTTTTTGGCGGGGGGGTATGATTTCTAACAGCAGCCCTGCCCTGCCCAGACCTGTGATACAGACGCTGCAGGGGGAAGTGGAGAATCAAGTAAGTAAATCCTTTATTGTTCCCCTAGACATAAACAAGCAATTTATCCTTGCATAGATGGACATAGATTGAGGAACTAGATCAGTTTCTCCCCCCCCCCCCCCCACTAATTTACTGAAATAAGGGAAGAATCTGATGGGGACCCTGAAGAAATGGGGGGGGGGGGGGGCTCTGATGGGTACCCTGGCGTAAGGGGTGGAACTGTAAGGGAGAACCTGATGTAAGGGGGGATGCTTGCAACCGTGATATAAGGGGGAGGAACTTTGATGGAAACCCTGATGTAACGAAGCACCCTCATGGGGATTCTTATATAAGGAGGAACTCTGATGGGGACCTTGATATAAGGGGGGGGGGCTGTCAGGGGCAGGAGCTGAGGAACGGACAGGCAGGCCTAACAATGTAACGCACTGGCTGACGACGACAACCACCACCCACAGACCGAAGTCCCTCAGGGCGCGGAGTCTAAGTCCCAGGCTGCCCTTCACCAGGGCCCCTGATGGTGGGGATGGACTTGACGCAGCCAGGAACCAGGTCGCGGCCCCCGAGACTATACCTCAGCTGCGGTAATGGCCGCCGCCAATGGCGTGTAGCTGGTGGAAGAGACAAAAGAGTAGTCAGACAAGCCAGGGTCAACAACAACAGGACAGAACAGTACAGGACAGCAGACGAGAATCACAGGTCACGAGCCGGGTTCAGCAACAGAGGGTCAGATCAAAGGAGAATACAAAGAATAGTCAAGACAAGCCGAATCAGATACCAGGAGAGTCACGAGAGTCAGAACAGAGTAACAGCAACACAAAGACACAAGACACAAGTGCAAAGAGCATGTGCGGGCCACAGGCTTATATGTCATCAGCCACACCCCTCTGGAGGATGGACCACAGAAACCTGAAGGCATAAAAGGGCTCCCATCATGCACAGCAGAATCCAAGATGGACACCAGCACATGAAGTAACATAACCACAGGGAAAAGGTAGGACCTTGACAGTACCTCCCCCTCAAGGGCCCCTCCCCCTCCGCGGCTCAACAAAAGGTTTCTGAGGAAAGCGGGTATGAAAAGCGCGGAGGAGGGCAGGAGCATGGACATCCGCGGAAGGAACCCAGGAACGCTCCTCGGGACCATAACCGCGCCAATGAACCAGGAACTGTAATTGACCGCGCGCACCAATCGAGAGTCCAGGATCCGGCTCACCTCATACTCCTCATGACCGTCAACCCGGACAGGACGGGGCCGAGGAAGAGAGGTAGTGAAGCGATTGCAGATCAGAGGTTTCAACAGGGAAACATGAAAGATATTGGAGATCCGCATCCCAGACGGAAGGGCAAGTGCATAGGCCACCGGATTCACTTTGCGGAGAATGCGGAAAGGACCGACAAAACGGGGGGAGCCAGTTTGGGTGTGGGCACCCGAAGATTGAGGTTGCGAGTAGACAACCACACCCGATCGCCGACCTGGTATGAAGGAGCGGGCAACCGTCTGCGATCAGCCGGAACTTCTGGCACTGAGCTGAGTCCCTCAAGGCCCTCTGGATCTGCCCCCAAGAAGAACGCAGGGCAGCAAGATGGTTCTCCACAGCCGGAATGTCCTGTGGTGAGAACCTCTCAGGTAATACCGCGGGTTGAAACCCATAGTTGGCCATGAAGGGAGACATCCCTGTGGAGGAGTTGACCGCCCAGTTCCTGGCAAACTCTGCCCACGACAGGAGATCGGCCCAATCATCCTGATGGTCTGAAATGTAACACCGAAGGAATTGTTCTAAGGCCTGATTGGAACGCTCCGCAGCCCCATTGGACTGCGGGTGGTAGGCTGATGAAAAGGAGAGACTAATACCCAACTGGGAGCAGAAGGCACGCCAGAATCTGGACACGAACTGACTCCCGCGGTCTGAGACAATCACCTTAGGTAACCCATGCAGGCGAAAAATCTCCCTGGAAAAGACCGTGGCCAGTTCCTGCGCTGTGGGTAATTTCCTGAGTGGAATGCAATGGCACATCTTGGAAAACCGATCGAGATCATGAGGATGACCGTATGACCCCGAGACACCGGGAGGTCTACAATAAAGTCCATCCCTAGATGTGACCAAGGACGCTCCCCCATTGGGAATGGTTGCAGAAGACCCAAAGGGAGATGCCGTGGAGACTTATTCTGGGGCACAGATCGAACATGCCGCTACATAAGAGGCAATGTCGGCACGGAGGGTTGGCCACCAGAATAAGCGAGAGACGACCCAACACAGCTGGTTCTTCCCTGGATGCCCGGCAGTTTTGGCGTTATGGTAGGTACGCAGCAGGCGGGTGCGCAATCCCTCGGGTACGAAACATCTACCCTCCGGCCTCCCGGGAGGAGCATCAGTTTGAGCCGCCAAAATCTGCTCCCCAAGGGGAGAGGTCAGACTGGTGCGAATGGCAGCCAGGATCTGATCTGGAGGTATAAGTGAGATTGGCTCAGAGTCCACCCTGGACAACTCAGAGTATTGCCGTGATAACGCATCAGCCCTGACATTCTTGGAACCAGGCAAATATGAAACCACATAGTTGAAGCGTGACAAGAACAGAGCCCATCTGGCCTGGCGGGGTGTCAATCTCTTGGCCTCCGAAAGATAAGTCAGGTTCTTGTGATCGGTAAGAATGAGGACCGGAACCGCGGAACCCTCGAGCAGGTGTGCCTCCATTCCTTGAGAGCCAGAATGATGACCAACAACTCCCGATCTCCAATCTGGTAGTTGCACTCAGCCGAGGAAAGCTTCCTGGAGTAGAACCCGCAGGGAAGTAGGGGTCCATCGGGTGACCGACGCTGAGACAGGAGAGCCCCTACTCCCGTCTCGGAAGCATCAACTTCGAGGACGAAGGGCAACCCAGGATTGGGATGCGAAAGAATCGGAGCCGAAAGCAAAGGCAGCTTTCAGAGCCTCGAAAGCTCTGATGGCCTCGGATGGCCACTCGTGAGGGTTACTCCCCCTTCTTGGTTAGGTCAGAGAGAGGCTTTGCCAATGTGGAGAAGTTCCTGATGAACTTCCGATAGTAGTTGGCAAAACCCAGAAAGCGCTGAATGGGCCGAAGACCATTGGGACGAGGCCACTGCAGAACTGCCGCAACCTTCTGAGGGTCCATGGAAAATCCCTCCGCGGAAATTATGTAGCCCCAAAAAGGCAACCTGGGATCGATGGAACTCGCACTTCTCGAGTTACAAAAGAGTCCGTTCTCACGCAATCGTTGCAGCACCTGCTTAACATCCTGGACATGGGACTCCATGGAGGTAGAGTAAACCAAGATGTCATCCAGGTAAACCACTACGCATTGCTGCAACAAATCACGAAGGACATCGTTTATGAATTCCTGAAAGACCGCGGGGCGCGTTACACAATCCGAAGGGCATCACCAGGTATTCGTAGTGCCCAGTTCTGGTGTTAAACGCGGTCTTCCACTCATCCCCCCTGTCTGATTCGTACGAGGTTGTACGCCGCCCTAAGGTCGAGTTTGGTAAAGACCGTTGCTGCCTTAAGGCGGTCGAATAACTCAGAAATCAAAGGAATTGGATATGCATTTTTAATGGTAATCCGATTGAGACCCCTATAATCGATGCAGGGCCTCAATTCCCCACCTTTCTTCTTTACGAAAAAAAAAACCCCGCTCCTGCTGGGAAGTAGACTTACGAATGTGCCCCGGGAAAGCGCATCCACACGTACTCCTCCATGGCCTTATTCTCCGCAACCGAGAGAGGGTACACCCTGCCACGTGGAGGAGAGGCCCCGGGTTGCAGGGATATGGCGCAGTCGTAAGGACGATGCGGTGGTAAGGTACCAGCGCGTACCTTATCGAACACGTCCCGGTATTCCCCATA